TCCCCCTTCATATGTATCTCCAAGTAGTTCCTTTTTTTTTTTTCTTTTTCTCTCTCCACGGGTGGGTTCTTACCATGCCGTAGAGGGGTGAATTCGTCAGTGGTGTTTTATTTTTTTTTTTTTTCTTCCTGGCCCCTTGAAGCCCGTCCTCATCCCCGTTGCCGCTTTTTTTTTTTTTCTTTTCATTTTTTCTCCCCACGACTGAAGCAGCAAAATAGGAAAAAATAAGAAAAAGAATACGCCTCGGTAATTTAGCAAGTGTATCTCATATAATAATTGCACAAAAAAAAAATATATATATATATACATATAAGTGGAGCGAACAAACAAATTGCAAAAAAAAAAAAAATAGTTAGTCATGAAGAAAACAAAAGAATAATTTTGCGTGAAACCAACCCTTTGTATCATCTCCTAGCAATTACCAATTTTTTAAAAAAAAGCCATTTCCCATTTGTAGCATTCACACTTGTATGCTTTTTCCTTCCACCTCCTTTTTGCCATTTATCCCTTCCCCATTTCGTCAACTTTTTTCTTCATCAAAATGTTTAACGACCAGAAAGTTTTAGTCGACATTTACATCCCAAGGAAATGCTCGGCTACCTCGAGACTCATCCCAGCCAAGGAACACGGAGCTGTTCAGATTAACATTGGCATGGTAAGCAGCCAACGTGGAGTGAAAAATAGAGCCGTTAAAACTAAAAATTCAAAAAAGAGGGAACAAGAAGGGGAATATTTTAACCATGGAGATACTAAAGCTACGCGTATAGGAACACTTGCGTGTGTTGTTGGGGCCGCAAGGAATGGGACTTGGGCTCGTAGTCGAACTTCTGCCACTGGGTCGTTAATAAGTTTTGCTTAACATAACAAAAGAGGGAGAAAAAAGAAACGGGAAAAAGAGTGGGAAAAAAAGCGGAAAAATAAGTCTAAAAAGAAGTGAAAAAAACGGCGTTGCACTGAACTCCATATAATCATTACGCATTGTGAAAAGCTCGTAGAGTGGCGTAGACAGCCATATAAATTATTCTTCGCACGTTTCTCTATCCCCCCACACGTGTACGCAAATTTCTTAACTCACATTGCATGTTTTTTGCACGACAACCCACAGGTTAACAAGAATGGAGTGTACACAGGCGAAACGGAAACCTTTGCCATTGCTGGCCACGTGAGACAAAAGGGAGAATCGGACGCCTGCCTGAACCGTCTCCTCCACGAGAAGAAGATGTTGTCCTTCTCGAATTAGGGAGGGACGCAGAGGCGTAGAAGCGAAGAATGGAAGAAGTAAAGAAGTAAAGAGGCGTGGATTTGAAGACGTGTGGACATTTCCCAGACATACCCGCCTGTCATGTGGTTTAGGCGCATGGCCATCTGCTAGGCCATTTTCTCCATTTCGCCGGTGCCCCTATTGCGTTATTTTAACTTTTGCTTTTTTTTTTCTGCATATTTTTTCGCAAATTTTTTCCCTTTTGCGATTTGTGAAGCATACACTGTGTTTTCCCCCCCGATGTAACGTCTATTCTGTGCGTGCGTCTGACTTCGCGAATCGAATCGGAAAACAATGAAACGAACACCGAGGGGAGAGAAATTAAGCCCGTGGAAAAAAAATGTGCAATGGAAACTCGATCGCAAAGGTGCAGTCTAGAAAGATGACCTGTGCGTCGATGTTGTTTTATTAACAAAGGGAAGTCTGCGCGGATGAACAAAAAAAAAAAAAAAAAACATGAAAATGAACATGGAGATGTGTTCTAATATGTGGTACCGCTTTGGCGTGTCACCTGCCCCTGAGCATCTCCACCTGACAGGGAACCATCCCAAAATAGTGAAGCACCAAACGAGTACGGGTTCACTGAGTAGGAGGAGGAAGGAGAAGAAGAAGAATCAGAACCCGATGTGCTGCAACCATTGCTTTATCTTCATCGTGTGGAGCCCCTTAACTTCGATATATCCAATGTGTTCTCTCACTGGCGCTTCGCATATCGTCCGGAGGTGTTCCTTGAACGCCTTGGGGGGGGATGAGTGGAGAAGTGTGAGAAGGGCTTCTCCTCATGTGGGCAGACACACATAAGTGCATGCTCAGCAGTGCACTGTGATTATCCCCTCTGGAAAAAGCCAATCACAACTGACCTTTATGTCACCATATATGTGCCGCACAACAGTCGTAACGATGGTTCCATGTCTCCTTATCTTTGGATAGACGGGTAAATTCCCAGAGGTGGTCCTGCTGACCTGTGATGAGGGCAGAAAAGGGATTCACGTTGTGGGATTCCCAGTTGTGTGTTACGAATTGGTGATAATGGAGTGGCGGAGGGACACATATACCAAATGGACAAGGGGACAAATAAATGAACGAAGATGGTCTTTCTCCCCTCCACGAAAGCTACCTTAAAGGGAAAGTTAAAGGAGGTTTCATTTTTTTTTTTAAATTTCGACTGAAGAACCCCCCTTTTGGGTACCAAAAAAAAAAGGCTCGACAGAGTTACCCTTCCGTTAACATCTGTGCATTTGATAAACGGGTAGCCATTCATCGTTCGTACTGACGGAACAGAGGAAGGGGCTGGAATGGACTTCTGGTCAGAGGTCAGTGTATGTGCTGAATGGGACAGGGGGGGTTACAATACGTCCTTCTACGCGCCCTGTTTCGTACGGCTTTTAATGCATACTTGTGGGTACCTCTGT